GAGACCATGGTCCCCAGAAGGGCCTGGGCAGTTTTTAAAGCTCACCAGGTGACTCTACATGAATACAATTAGATGATTTTGCTCTTGAAGGCACTTTTACGATTATAAGCTTAAATAGCAGGTAGTGTAGGACGTTGTCAAACACTAGTTACACAGTAATTTCACAAGCCTCGCCTATATATACCTTCCTCATTTTCCTTGGCATTATATGTACTCAATTTTGACATTAGTTTATATGGTTAAATGTAGTACAGAATATATTCTGTTCTATATTTCTAGTTATCCTATCAAAAATTTGAGGACAAACACCCCACCGTTGCATTTTTTCAAGTGCTTAACCAAATGCTCTGGAGGAAAAGAGGTATTACCTGCTAAAGTCCACTTACAAGAAAAATCATGAAAAAATTTAACCACAAACATTACTTCTTCAATATCTTTTTTTTTTTTAAAAAAAGGGTTTTGCTATGAAAGGAGTGAACACACATGTAAATAACTGTTTTTGGTTTTTAAGATGAAAAAAGGCAGAACCACCTAATTCCCACTCCACCCTTCCCTGAACTGAATAAACAGAGAACTTACCAATCTGCAAGGCAAAGGACCAAACAATGGTTTATCTTCATCACTTAAAATTCTTTCTGTGGAAAGCACAATGTTGTCAGGTTTCAGAATCTTTAAGTCATATCACTAGAATTAACTTTGGATGAAAAGGAAAAATGAAAGCAAATTCCCTCAACTGATATGAAGCTATAATTACCACCAAAATGAGTTCTGCTTCAAAGTCTTTATATTATTTTTTCATACAGTTGCCAACTTTCCACATCTCATCTAAAAACAGGATTCTACACATAATTCATGTCAATGCCTGCCTGTGACTTAAAGAGAGACAAAACTCTAAATGTCTTACCTATGCTTTGGATGGTGTACGCACAACTACCCCAACACATTATGGGCACGCGGGGATCCTCTTCATTGGGATGAACCTTGAGTCCCACCTTATAAGTAGCAGTTCCAAATGTTGTTAGCATTTCTTTTATGCTCTCAGAATAAGGGTTCCTGAAGTGAACATGTATAGGAGTAGTTTAAAACGGTGTGCACATCAATCAACTGGCTGAATTTCTTAAAAGCTATTTGCTATGTTGGAATTTAACCACTTAAACATGTATCAATAGATGGTTATATGAAAGAGGGGATTACAGATGTGCAAAGTATCCCTACCTAAGAAGAGTTATGCTCTATTTGAGTTGACAGGGGTGCGGCACAAGGTATTAGGTGAAAATCTACATACTAACCTGTGGGACACTTGGACCTCTTTCCCCATCCTGCTCTGAGAATATCAGCAATGTATCCCACTGCTATAGAGATTAGTTTCTCCACTGAAGAATCCTCAGGGAAGTCATTCTAACACTGACATTTAGGGGTTCCCAAGTAAAAGACTGATGCCTGATCATCTCACTGTGGGGGATTCACGGTCAGCAAGTTCCAACCTGCCTATCAAGTTTTCAATGTTTTTTTTAGGCCTTATTCTTGATTAATCACCCAAAGATCAAGAAACATCTAAGGGAAGTTATCAAACATGAAAGAGGCAAACCAAAACAAACAGAAAAAGATAATTCGGGGAAAACAGAGACAGAGTAGGAAGGCAGAAAACTCAGAAATTTAAGGATGAGTTCAAGAGGCCCACAGTGAGCTAACAGTAAGATCACCTCAGAGAACAGAGAAACCAAGACTAAAAATAATCAAAGAAACAATAAAAAAATTCTCAGAACTGAAGGACATGAATCTTCAGATTCAAAGGGTTTATTCAGAAACCTAGCAAAATGAATGAAAAAAGATTCACACACCAAGGAATATCACAGAGAAATTTCAGAATACTGGGGATAAAGAGAATATCCTAACAGTTTCCCAAGTAGTAAAGTCACAAAGGAATACAAACCAGAATGGCATTAATTTCTCAATGGATGCTAGAAGGTAGTAGAACAACGCCTTCAAAAATCGAGATAAAAAATTACTTCTAACCCACAATTCTATACCCAAACCATCAATCAAGCATATGGACAGAATAAATGTATTTTCAGACATGCAGGGTCTACACATTTTATCATCTAAGATACAGGATCCAGAAATTAAGAGGAGCATGGCAAAGTCTCAAGTTGACATCTGTCCCCCCTTCCGACTAGTTCAGGAGGACAGAATGCTGTGGGATGGAAGGTCCCAGGATAAAAGATCACATGATAAATGTGAGCATTTGGAAAAACTACTGCTAGGCATCTGACAGATCTACTGCAGCATTAAAAAACAAACAAAAAACAAAAACTAACATATACACAGAAAACCAAGTACATGAAAAAAACAAGGTAATTATTAACCACAGGAAAGAAAATTGTACAGGGAAGGGAATATAATGCACAACTTATATCAGCAGAAAGCACAGTTATAATGTAAAACTTGACAACTGATTTAACCAAAAATTATGAAATAACTCTAATGGGAAACTGTTAAGAAGTGGAGAGACAGAGGTAAAAGTTGAATCCTAAATTACTATTCAACATAACATGCTGTCTAAAAATTTTAAATCAAGAGACAACAGACTGATCATATTAATTAGAAATATGGAAAAAAATACAAGAAGAAACAAAATGACAGGACTGGGAATAGGGAATTGGGAGACAGAGGAATAATGATTTTCTATTTAAGCTCACCAGTATTATTTTTATTAGGTTGCTTAGTATGTGCCAGATAGTTTCCAGGTGACTTTACATGTATTATGTCACTATTATTCTCACTTTAAGATGAGGAAACGGAGACAGAGAGGTCAAGCAATTTGCTCAAAGTTATACAGGTAGTACTTGTGTGACTACTGAGCAGTAGCGCTCGGAAATGAACCAAGCATTCTAGCTCCTGAATCTATGCTATACTTTGTAAGTGCACCCACTCCTTACTTACTGACATAGATAGGTTCCAAAGACCTGGTCATTATGCAGAACTCGGTGTTATGCAAAAATGGAGGACGATCACATTAGATCACAAAAATGGAAGATGACTACATCATTGCATAACTGCCAAATTACATCATTACATAACTGCCAAACCACTGAGAATCACAGCCCAGCCAAGCTGACACATAACTTTAACCATCACAGCAAGCGTTAACTCTCGCCTACCACCTTGGTGTTTGTTACTGCCAGACATACATCGTTAATGTGCAAAATAGTTGGATAACAGACTCTTTTACTCTTGTTGTAAATGCAAAATGTCAGATAATGAGATAGTCGATAAAGTGAGGAATAGGTAGGTAAAACTGGCTATGGGGGAAAATGGTGTTGAAAATACTCTGGTTTTGATCTGGCTTACTAAGAGGTTGGTGAGGTAGTAAGTAGAAACACAGAAGTCAGAAGGAAGCACAGGATTTGGTGGGGGAGATGAACAGTTGAGTTTAGATGTAACTGAAGAGGTGTTATCAAAGAGAACCAAATAAAGGGGTATAGCAGGGAGCCAGCAATGCAGACTCAGAGAGGTTGGTGAGAGTTAAACATGCCACATGGCTCTTAGGTTTTTATCAATATATGCAATGCTTCATGTAATACTTAAACCTCAGAATTCAAGATTAATGTCCTATAACATTTTGCTCCTTGGCTTGACAAATCCTACTCCTACTAACCACTGACTTAATTTTTCACTTCAAGTGGGGCAAATTTAAAATGAATAAAATACAACATACTCACTTAGGATGAAAATCAGGCCTAAATCCTTCATGGAGCTGCAATTTATCCATATTTTCTGAATTCTTTGAAGAGGCAGTATCTATAGAAACAGGCATTTTATGCCATTATTCAACAGATCACAGTATTTCTATTAATCTCAGTTACGTAGGTCAAAGAAATTAAAAAACAAAATTCCTATTAACAAAACTGACACACTATCCAAAGAAAGCATAAAAATATGATTGCTCTGGTTGACCAAGTCACTTTCCTTAGTCACCTCTGCTCTTCCTAATAAGAGTATAGCTACTAGAACATAGCTAGGGAAGGTAAGGAAAAGGAAGAGTACGCTATTTCTGTAAAAACCAATGATATAAACTTCTGCTCATACTGCTTTCCCACAAGGTCAAAAGTGCAGTGCATGCTCTATGAGACTTAGAGAAGCCTTTGGAAATGCCAACAGTGAAGTGAGTTAGCCCACCTAGAACTAAAGCTAGCTCTTAAATACTCAGTTACATCTTCCCCACCTCCAGAGGCTCTTCAATAAAATGAGGGAATAAATGAGTATTATAGATTTTGCATGAGCTTGTGTGTTTTTAAGGTATAAGGAGAAATGTAATAAAGTAAAATTTAGTTTATTAAGACAAAGAAAATTTGAGTCAAATTTTAAAACAGGAGGTTTTACTTTTAAAATCCTTCTAAACAGTTTCTTCTGGAAGTACATTTTCTAACAACCTGAGACTTTAGGGAAGAATGAAAGCAGGTTATTAGCACTTACCAGGAGTACTACCTTCTTTCCTAAGAAACTGTAAGGCTTTTATTTGCTGAGATATTGTTCTAATCCACTGAGTCAGATTTGGCTGTTCTGAAAAATTTAACCTGCTAGAAAAGATTATAGAGAGCGTTTAGTATTTTATTGTTGTTGCTTAGTTATTTTTTTTTTCCAGTTGACAAGTTTTTCACTTTATTTTATTGTGCTTTAGATGAAAGTTTACAGAGCAAATTAGTTTCTCATTAAATAATACACATATTGTTTTGTGACACTGGTTGCCAACCCTGCAACGTGACAACACTCTCCCCTTTCCGACCTTGGGTTCCTCATTTCCATTTGTCCAGCTTTCCTGTCCCCTCCTGCCTTCTCGTCCTTGCCCCTAGGCTGGTGTGCCCATTTAGTCTCGTACACGTGGCTGAGCTACGTGTGTTATTGTTTGTTCTACAGGCCTGTCTAATCTTTGGCTGAAGGGTGAACCTCAAGAATGACTTCAGTACTGAGTTAAAAGGGTGTCCGGGGGCCATACTCTTGGGGTTTCTCCAGTCTCTGTCAGACCGGTAAATCTGGTCTTTTGTGTGAGTTAGAATTTTGTTCTACATTTTTCTCCAGTTCTGACTGGTACCCTCTATTGTGATCCGTGTCAGAGCAGTCGGTGGTGGTAGCCAGGTACCATCTAGCTGTCTGGACTGTTGCTTAGTTTTTAAGATATAAAAAGACTCCTTAAATGATGATATTTTAAACATACTTCAAAAAAAAAAGCTAGAGGGAAAAGTTATTGCATTTAAAAAAATCAGGATCGAAATTAGCCAATGGAAATGAAAATCTATTATTTGTCAATATGATGCCAATAACATTATCTGTCAAAAAATTCATTTTCAGCATTAGGATTTGCCAGTATATATGTCTTAACCATCACAATCACCACCACTATCCACCAGTAATATTTATCGAGCACTTATTATGTGACAAGCACTGAGTAAAGCATTTTACTGTAAACATTTTACAGTATTAACCACCAAAATATTTAATTTGATCCTCAAAATATTCCTATAAAGACGTTATATTATTGCCCCCATTTTATAGATGAGGAAACTGAGGTTTAGAGCTATGTAACTTGACTAAGGACATATAAGGGATAGAGCCAGCATTCAAACTCAGGCATGTCAGACTCCAAAGCTTGTGTTCTTAATACTATGCCACTGTTGACTCTCACAGGAAGAAAATGAAACCTGAACCACAAAAGTGATGGGTGAAATCCAACAAAGTGATTGTTCCTTCTACGCAGTTAATCCTTAATCTAACAATGATTAATTTCTTCATCACTTCAAATCCAGATATAAGTCAGCACCATATTTTTTTTTCCTTTTTATTGTACTTTAGGTGAAAATTTACAGCTCAAGTTAATTTTTCATACAAAAATTTATACACACATTATTTTGTGACATTAGCTGCAATCCCCACAATGTGACAGCACACTCCCCCTTTCCACCCCAGGTTCCCTGTGTCCATTCGACCAGTTCCTGTCACTTCCTGCCTTCTCATCCTGCTTTTGGACAGGAGCTGCCCATTTGGTCTCGTGTATTGAACTGAACTAAGAACCATTCCTCATGTGATTAATTTTTGTTTTATAGTCCTGTCTCATCTTTGTCTGAAGAGTGGGCTTTGGGAATGGTTTCAGTTCTTGGTTAACAGTGCATCCGAGGGCAGCAGTTTTGCAGGAAATACCATGATATTTTTAATGACTAAAAAGCATGAGCTTACACTCAAATCTAATGCTATTTTAGTAACATTTTATGGTAGCATAAGATTAAGATACCACAGTTTGAACTCCTGAAATTGAAGAGAAAAAGCTAATTTTACTTTGAAGTGAATCCAAATAGTAGCACAGGAATAAATAATAAAACTTAAATTAGTATTTATGTGTCTAAAGCAGATAACAATTCTTAACTGAGAAATAAAGTTCAGATTTAAGTAGACAGTATCAAATTCCTATCTGAAATAAATATGTCCAATACCAATATTAAAAGTGCTCTAAAAATTATGAAACGATAAAAATTTTCCATTTTAAACACAACAACAGATTTTTATTTTTGGCCTGATTCTTGAGGCTATCGTTGGCTAGTAAACTGCAAAAAACTGTATTTGATTTGTTACACTATTCAGTAAAGTAAGTTTGAGTTGTCCTTCCTCTCCGTATCCATTTAGTGAGTATCTCTTTCAAAGTATGAGGGAGATTCCTAAAGACTACTCTAGTACAGATATTTAATGCAGGGTTCCTAGAAATAAAGAAGATGCTTAGTTTTCATGAATACATGGCAATTTTATATCTTCCATAGTATTTATGGGTGACTAAGAAACTGTTAAGGGGCCCTGGTGGCACAGTGGTTAAGCACTCAGCTGCTAACTGAAAGGTCGGTAGTTCAAGCCCACCAGCCGCTCCGTGGGAGAAAGATGTGGCAGTCTGCTTCCAAAAAGATTACAGCCTTGGAAACCCTGTGGGGCAGTTCTACTCTGTCCTATAGGGTCGCTATGAGTCAAAATTGACTGGACAGCAACAAATTTTCTTTTTTTGGTTTAAGAAACTGTTACACAAGGTTGCTGTGAGTCAAAACCGACTCGACAACACGTAACAACAAGAAACTATTAATTCTTGGCCTGTTCCTTTCTAAAAACCAAAATCATACTGCAAAGGTGTGCTAGAAGAAATGACTAAATAGAAAGTTCAGGAAGCATCTGGAAAACAACATGCAATTACCTAGAATAATTTTTTCCTGGTTTATTATTTCATTATCTTCAAAACAAATTATTGCTTAATTATAAAGTGTTTATGAGACAAAACTTACCTGTTAAAAATATTTCTTGGAGGAAGCAGTAGAGGAATAACAGTATTACTCAAGCATTCACAAAGGGGACAAAGGAATTCTCCATTTTCTACATCATAGCTTGTATGTAAGCGTAATCTCTGTTGCCTTCGCTGTTCTTTAGCTTGAACGGAATCAAAATACCTTTACAATTAGAGAACATGAGGTATCAAAAACAATGGTAATTTTTTTCAATGAGAGCCACAATCTTCAACATTTTAAATAGTTGCTTCCAAAAGTAGTCAAAAAATGAAAATTCTAAAATTCTGAACTGGATTGTTTTTAACACTGTCATTCTGATTTTTGAGTTGTTTTAATTATCAAAATGGGTTAATACTTCTAAAATAGGAAAATAATAATAATAATAAAAAAGACTTCCTTGCAAGTAAGCATTCACAAAGCACAAGAGAAATTTCCTGGTCCCAGTGCTGTCTGGTCCCTCCCTAAGAGCTGGTAGGTACTTGCTACGGGTAGCTCATATAACTTGATGAGCACAGTGCTAGAATAACAGCACCAATTTCTTGGTTTTGCACAAGCATAGAAAGCACCAAGGTAGAATGTGTTTAGGGTTATCCCTTCTTAGTACTGCAGTCATGATAATCTTGGAACGTAATGAGGCAAGTACTAACACCTTCAGAATCAAGGGTTGTCACCTAAGACCTGAAGAAAGACAATATTATTTTCGTAGGTTTTATCTCACTGTAAAAATCCTTTTCTTCATCCAGTTTGTTAGCTAATGCAGATCCCCTTCCCTCTTTGGAGGAATAAAGGAGAGATTTTGATATAAAGCTACATTAAGAAATATAGTTGAGATACTATGAAGCTTCTAAGTCACTCCTTTACATCTCTGATAAAGCAAATTAATTTTAATTGTTACATATTAGGCAAGGATATGGAATTTTTTCTTCAACATCTTTAGTTCTTTCTCCTTTTTTCTAGACGGAACTTCCCCTACTTCAAAACTCAATTTTGAGCCTTTGCATAAGCTTCTCTCGACAGATACTGAGAATATAAGTTACCTTTGCCAACAATGAGCATGCATAATGTGCCCACAGCTACCAGTGTGTGTTCCGCAAGACAGATCGGGGTGCATGAATAATGGATCATATTTTTCTGCATTACAAAACAAAATAAACAAATAAAACTAAGCATTTAATTTTCCTGTAACAAGCGTGCAACTTTAAATTGTGAAATCCTTGATAAGGGCTTGTAACCTTAACACGGAATACTAGTTTACCCCTTTCATTTGAAATACCAATAATTTTATGTAAGAACTTGGGTTATTTAGAAAGTAGGACTTTCTCATTTTTATCATCCTGAACAAATTAATTAATCACCCCTCAACTGTTAACTAATATTGACACCTGTATTGAAGTATATCCAATCTTTTGAACATCTCACACTTTCAGAACACGGAGACTCAAATCCCTCCCATCATACCCTGAAGAAAAGCCAGGTCTAGATGACTACCTGAGCTCAAGGTAAGAAGGAATATTCTTTATTGGGCTGCATTTAATACCTTCAGAGCAGCTGGGTTACAATGATCTATAACAAGAAATACACTTTGGTGGTAACGGGGCTCTCCCTAGAGGAGATTCTGCCTAAAGACACTCACGCACAGAATCACCACAACCACTGTACAAAGCCAAAATGGCAACAAAATATCTAAGGAGGCAGATCAGAGGAAAAAGAGTAATTCAGAAGGTCTTATGTTCTGCTGCTAATTTCTTTTTCTTTTTTTAATTAAGAAAACAATGTTTATTGATAACAGCCAAAAAACCAAAAACCAAATCCACAGTCATCAAGTTGATTTCGACTCACGGCGACCCCACAGGACAGAGAAGAACTGTCCCATAGAGTTTCCAAGGAGTGGCTGGTGGATTCGAACCGCCGACCCTCTGGCTGACAGTTGTAACTCACCATAGCTCTTAACCACTTCACCACCAGGGCTCCTTGATAGCAGCAGGAGTAAGGAGAATCAGCCCCATTCCCTGAGGCCCTCAAGGGCCCCCTCTAGGGTGGAGGCAGACTGGACAGCAGGAGACAAGATCACAAATAGCCCTAATGGGTCCAGGCTGGACTAGACCAGTCCCTCAGCCCAGGGAGAAACTGGAGGTTGAGAGCTAAGTACCTGAGGAGCCTCGACAGTTTGTTTTATGTAATTAAGATTTACATAAGGAATAGTTCTTCTTACACATTAAAGGTCGGTCATTCTTAAAGGCCCGCTTAGGTATTACTACTCCATGGAGATAGCCAGACCGTGAGGCTGGCACAAATTGTTTGCGATGACTACTAATCTAAAGGTCGGCAGTTCAAAGCCACCAGCCACCTCTGCTGCTAATATCTTATATTCAAAGGAGAGGATGCCTGGTTTCTTTGGAAATTTTTTGAATTCTCTATATATAAGCTAGTACAGTCGTAGAAATTCCACAACATTCTAAAAGAATTACTAAAATATCAATTTGCTTTATATACTAGAACAGTACAAATGTCACTAGATAAAGAAAATGTTTTATGACATAAATTGTGAAAGCATTTGGAAAATCCACTTATAGCCGGCCAGAGTTTTTTCTTAGTAACAAATTAGCAACTTTATTCTTGGGCTAGAATTGAATAAAATTTATAAATCACTTAGTTCAAATGACCATTTTTAAAGATGAGGCAGACGTATCTCTGTTAACTAGGGTGCTTAAGAGCCACACTGTAAAGACTTCCCTTATATAGAGAAGGCAATCCTACCAGTGGGCTCACAAACTTCCTTTCAATCCTACAATATGAAAAAAAAAGCAAACCCAAACCCTTCATGTCGAGTCGATTCTGACTCATAGTGACCCTATACGACAGAGTAGAACTGCCCCACAGGGTTTCCAAGGAGCAGCTGGTGGATTTGAAATGCTGACCTTTAGGTTAGTAGTCAGCGCAAACAATTTGTGCCAGCCTCACAGTCTGGGTATCTCCATGGAGTAGTAATATCTAAGCAGGCCGTTAATTTGAGACCTTAAGAAAGTTAAGAATGACCCACCAGGGCTCCATAAGGCACTTGCTAAATGAGTGTTTTAGGAATTCCTAAGACACAGCCCTGCTCTTAAGAAGTCTATAGGCATAGTTGAGGTGCATACCAATATAAAAAAGCCTAAGAATAGAGACATAAAAGTATCTGTGGTGAACACAATAATGTGTGGCTCAGATCCCCTACCGTGATGAAAGACTTACTCTCTTAGTTGCTGGAAGAGGGCCCTCAAGTGTCATCCCTCTTTCCAGGGATGGCCCACAACCAGTCACTGAACAGTGTTGAGATGAAGACCCAGTCTCTCGTCCTAATCCAGGACAACTCTGAATGGCCATCTAACTCCAGCGCTCTCCCTGGAGTTGGCTGAGGCCTCTTGGGGACTGCATTATACCTCAATGTCTCCCTTCGTCTAAATCTACTTCCTTCTTCTCCTGTCCACAGATCTTAATCCCAAGACTCTCCCTAATAAATGTCCTGCATGGTAACGTCTGTCTTAAAGAATGTGCTCTCTGGGAAACCCTACTGGTGATGGCATCACTATTCTAAATAATAATCTGGCTTAAGGACTGCTCCTGACATAGGTAACTAGCACCACTGTTCTCAAGGGCCTCCACCCTAAGTCTATCATTTCAATAAGTAACAATAATTATTGTTAGTTCAGTGTGTCAAAAAATTATTAGGACTTTACCAGTGCGTTAAATAATGAGAATGACTGTTAAGTACCCAAGTGTGATGGTGAAGGTTGTATGTCAGCTTGGCTGGGCCATGATTCTCAGTGGTTTGGCAGTTATGTAATAATGTAATCAACTCCATGATGAAATCTGCTATGAGCAGCCAGTATATAAATGGATGTTCCAGCAAGGCTCTCACTCTGGATCCTGCATCTGGCTCAGCCATCATCTGACCTATGATTTTTGGGACTTGAGCTACCAGCTTACCTGCTGATCTTGGGATTTGTCAGCCTCCACCGCCTGTGAGCCAGCGGCTGGCTTGCTGTCTGATCTGCCGACCTTAGGTTCGTCAGCCCCCGCAGCTATGTGAGTCAGCAGAAGCCTCCAGCCTGATGACTGTCTCAAGGATTTGGGACTTGCCAGCCTCTACAACCACATGAGTCATTTCCTTGAGATAAATCTGTCTCTCTATATACACTTCACTGGTCTTGCTTATCTAGAGAACCCAGCCTAAGACATTTGGTACTGATAGTGGTTCTAGAGAAACAAAATTGTAAAGATGAATTTTCTAAATTGGTTCTCAAGTCTGGTTAGTCTTTAAGATGTTGATGTCTCTGCTTCCAGTAGTAAAGACAGCACTGCTAATCCATAGCATTGGGGTGGCAATAGAAATACTCAAATTATCACCACCAACAGATCAAGTACTGGTGAGAGGCAAGGCTCTGGGTGATCATGTTTGATACTTTTCTACAATATTGTCAGAATGAGAAGTATAAGGAAGCTGGTTGGTCCTACTTTTGCTAGACAAAGTGGTCAAAGAAAGATGAGCCCTGGGCTTCAGAGTCACAGCTCAAGTGCCACATAAATGACCTCAAAGTTGCCACTTGTGCTCTGAAAGAAAGCCTTATTTCTTGCAGTAACAGAGCTGATACTGCCTAAAACCAAACCCAGAATTTTATTGTAAGAGTGGCTGAATTACAATGCCAATTGAATTCCCAACCTCGAATGGTATCTGAAGTTAAAGCCAGGGCACTGATTGGGAAGAAATGGGATCCTGAAACTTGAGATGGGGACACGGGGGCAGATAATCAGGAAGCTGGGAACGCAGAGCCCCTAAATTCCATTTAATCACTCCTGCAACACAAGCAGCCCTCTCACTCCCATCTGAAGAGATTGCTCCATCTTTGTCTGCTAAGCCATCCTTCCCAGTAAAACCATTAGCCCCTCTACCCCCATCTGATTAGATTAACCCAGCTGTGTCTGAAGAGCCTTTGTCTGAGTCATTGCCTTGGGCAGATGCCTTACAAGACATTGCTGAATGTTCTCAGAACACATCCTCACCCCCATTTTTGCTTCTAGACCCATAACTAGACTTAAGTTCCAGCAATCCCCAAAAGATGAAGTACGAAGTCTGACCCAGAAGGAGGTACACTATACTCCAAAAGTACTGCTTGACTTTACTAACATGTACAAACAGAAACCTGGGGAATATGTATGGGAATGGCTATTAAGGGTGTGGGATAATGGTGCAAGGAACATAAAGTTGGATCAGTCTGAGTATACTGATATGGCCACACTAAGCAAGATTCTTCATTCAATGTTTCAGCTCGAGAACTGAAACACTGAAGAAACACTGAATGAAAAAGGATCTAATAGTTTACTTGGTTGTTTGCTGAGGCATAGATTACGCAGTGGCCTACACTAAATCAAGGTGAAGTAGCAGACCTCTCTTGGTATACTGTAGAAGAAAGTATACAAAGGCTTAGGGAAATTGCCATGTCAGAGTGGATTTAACAGGGCCAAGCGGTGGCACTCAATTGACAAAGACAAGGCGGGCTTGTTTACCGTAATGGGCAGTGGAGTCAAAGCAGTAATCAGAGTTCTCTCACTGATACGGACTTATGGTGCCGGCTACTTAGTTACGATGTCCCTAGGAGTGAAATAGATGGGAAATCTACTAAATATTTACTTGATCCCTACAAGTGGAAGAATTCTAGGTCAAGTGAACGGCAGCCTAACTTAAATAGTCAGAATAGAGAGTCAGGCCCCTCAATCAATTCCCAGACTTGAGCTAGTTTTTAGACCCACAACCTACTGAATGAAGGGGAGGCTGGGTTCCCTTGAGAAAGGACCCCACTGCACTTCCAAAAACTTATGATGTTGATCTTTGTCCCGGCCTTCCCCAAAGGGATCTATGGCCCTTCACAAGTGACTGCTCATTGGGCTAAAGGAAATAATCAGATTTTTCGGGGATTACTGGACACTGGCTCTGAACTGACACTAATTCCATGAGACCCAAAATGCCACTGTGGCCCACCAGTCAGAGTGAGGGCACAGGGAGGTCAGGTTATTAATGAAGTCTTAGCTCATGTCCATCTCAGAGTGGGTCCAGTAGGTCCCCGAACCCATTCTGTAGCGATTTCCCCAGTTCCAGAATGCATAACTGAAACAGACATACTCAGGAATTGGCAGAACCCCCACGCTGGATCCCTGACATGGGTGATTATGGTGGGAAAGGCTAAGTGGAAGCCATCAGAACTGTCCCTACCTAGGAAAATAGTTAACCAAAAGCAATACCACATTCCTGGAGGGACTGCTGAAATTAGTGCCACCATCAAGGACTTGAAGGATGCAGGGGTGGTAATTCCCACCACATCCCCATTCAATTTGCCTATTTGGCCTTGCAAAAATCAGACGGATTTTGTAGAACGACAGTGGATTACTGAAAACTTAACTAGGTGGTGACTCCAATGGTAGGTACTGTTACAGATGTAGTTTCACTGCTTGAGCAAATTACTGTATCTCCTGGTACTTGGTACGTAGCTACTGATCTGGCTAATGCCTTTTTCTCCATACCTGTTTCGAAGATCACTAGGAGCAGTTTGCCTTCAGCTGGCAAGGCTAGCAATACACCTTCACTGTCCTACCTCAAGGGTATATCAACTCTCCATCCCTATTCATAATTTAGTCTACATTTCTCTTCCACAAGATGTCACACTGGTCCATTACATTGATGACATTATGCTGACTGGACCTAGTAAGGAAGAAGTATCAATGACTCTAGACTTAGTGGTAAGATGTTTTTGTGTGCTAGAGGGTGGGAAATTAACCTGACAAAATTCAGGTGCCTTCCACCTCAGTGAAATTTCTAGGGGTCTAGTGATGTAGGGTAGGTTGAGGTACTCCTTCTAAAATGAAGAATAAGCTGTTGCATCTGGCCCCTTCTACAACTAAAAAGGAGGCACAATGACTGCTGGGCCTCTTTGGGTTTTGGAGGCAGCATACCCCTCATTTGGGTGTGCTACTACAGCCTATTTATCAAGGGACTTGAAAAGCTGCTAATTTTGAGTGGGGCCCAGAACAAGGAAGGCTCTGCAACAGGTTCAGTTTGCCGTGCAAGTTGCTCTGCCACTTGGGCCATATGACCCAGCTTATCCAATGATGTTTAAAGTATCAGTGGCAGATAGAGTTGCTTCTTTGAGTCTTTGGCAGGCCCTTATTGGTTAATCACAGCGCAGACCCTGAGGATTTTGGAGCAAAGCCCTGCCATCATCTACAGATAACTACTCTTTTTGAGAAACAGCTTTTGGCTTGTTATGGGCCTTAGTAGAGACTGAATGCTTAACCATGGGCCACCAAGTCACCATGCATTCTGAGCTGCCCACCACTGATTCCACTGAACTGGAAGTTAAGAATGCCACCTGGCCACTTCGGGCTCCTCACACCTCTGGATGAATAGGCAAAGAAGGGAGTTACCATATTGACCAGTGTGATTGATTCTGATTACCAACGGGAAATCGGATTGATATTAGATAACGGTGGTAAAGAGAGTATGCCTAGAATACAGGAGATCCCCTAGGACGTTTCTTAGTACTACCATGCCCTGGATTAAATTCAATGGAAAATTACAGCAACCCAATTCCAACATAACTACTAATGGTCCAGACCCCTCAGGAATGAAGGTTTGGGTCATTCTACCAGGCAAAGAACCATGGCCAGCGAAGGTACCTGCTGAGGGTAAAGGGAATATGGAATGGGTGGTGGAAGAAGGTAGTTCTAAATACCAGTTATGACCATGTGATCAATTGCAGAAATGAGGACTGTATTTGTTATTTCTTCCTTGTATATGGTGCATCAAATATTTTTGTTTTCTTCATTTATAAAATATAAGATGTAAATAAGGCTACTGTGTTTTCAGTTGTATGTGTTAGTTGCATCATGTTACACGCGAGTATGACTTTATAACTGTCTTTATTTAGAGATTATGTATGGTTTAAGGAGATGTGTACAGGTGCCAAGTTGACAAGGGGTAGATTGTGATGGTTAAGGTTGTATATCAACTTGGCTGGGCCATTATTCTCAGTGGTTTGGCAGTTATGATGTAGTCTGGGCGCTATGTAATGATGTAATTTATCAACTCCATGATGAAATCTGCTATAAGTAGACAATCAGTTGAAAGGGGGTTTCCTTGGGGATGTGGCCTGCCTCCAGTATATAAATGGATGTTCCAGCAGGCTCACACTCTGGATCCTGCATCTGGCTCAGTTATCACCTGACCTCAGGCCCTTGGGACTGAGCTAGCAGCTTACTTGCCAATCTTGGGATTCATCAGCCTCCGCAGCCTGTGAGCCAGCGGCCTGCTGTCTTACCTGCCAATCTTGGGATTCGTCGGCCTGCGCAGCCTGCTGTCTGACCTGCCGATCTTGGGTTCGTCAGCCCCTGCAGCTATGTGAGTCAGGAGAAGCCTCCAGTCTTTTGATACCTGACCCACGGATTTGTGACTTGTCAGCCTCTACAACCGTGTGAGCCATTTCCTTGAGATAAATCTCTCTCTCTATATATATACATATGCTTCACTGGTTTTGCTTCTCTAGAGAACCCAGCCTAAGACACAAAGTATGTTAATGTTATATCACAAAGAAAAGCTTTTCTTTGAATCTCTGCTATTTATCAGGTGTATGATTCAAGCATGATACTTAATCTTTCTGAGTGTTTCCACATCTGCAAAATGGAGGAATTATATACAATTCCTGCCTAAGATATCAACAAGCTTATGGAATTATTAGTACACAAAATCTCTGTATATCACCAATGCGCTAAATGGTCGTCATTATTAATAGGGAAGATGAGGATCTAGCTATAACTTACCTGGATCCTGAATGAATTTACTTCTGTTTTTTGACAATACAGTTGATCTCTGAATAAATGCTGCCAAGACCATTGCCTTACTTTCTACCTTAACCTCTTGCTCTTCTTGACACAATATACAGGTAATAAATTGTCTCTGTTCAGGGACCCGTGTTTGTGCTGGGCCCAATGCTGTAAGTGTCATATCTGAAGCCACAGGGCTGCAATAAAAAAATTATGAATAGAATGAGTCTAAGCAGTTTCTATACTCATATTAATTTATAACGTATCAATCATAAAACAGTAGATCCCAGGTATGTGTATATTTAACATACATGGTTTTGATGACCTGAGTTGTCAAAAGTCTCTCATATGTATCAAAACCATCTTTTGTAATCCTCCCAGAAATCTAGTATGGAACACAGAAGCCAAAATACTCAATTAACTGAGCTTAGTGAACTCATTCTTCCATGAATGTCAAGGGTGTTCTGTATAACATATCAGTTTAAGTATACACGTGAATTACCTTATCTACAGATAATCAGGGATATGCTCATAAACATACACTAACAAACTCAAGATTTCTAAGATTAATTCCCCCAAGTGAAGGTCACAAAATTTACCTATCAACTCTACTAAATTACTTTAGGATTAAAAGTATACTTATACAGAAAAAAAGCAAAATTGCCCCCAGTTGAATGATTCCAAAATTGTTATTAAATTTTACCTATTATCAAAAACAGCAGAGGGAGAGGCATCCAGGTCTAATGTCTGCTGAAAGAGTTCTCTGTTCTCGTCAATAAAGTGCCGCTGCATCTCAGACATCTGGGCCATGATCTTTTCTCTGCGTAGCCTGGCAATCTCAGCTTTTCTCTTCCTCTCAGCTTTGTCTTTGTCTCTTGAATTCTGAAATTATGCTTCATTCAATTAGACCATTAGATGTTAAATACACTTTTTTTTTTTTTTACCAAAACAGAAATGTATTTACGATACTCATTAATTAAAAACTATTCAACAATCTCACTTACTTAAAGACTTCTTAATTAACCTAACATGTTTAAAAAAAAAAAAAAAAAAAAAGGCAGACCAAAAAAATTGCTACAACAAATAAACAAATAGTGGCATGTTTCTTGACATTTAAAGGTTTGCAAATAATATCAACTATTAACTTAATGCAGATAAATATCGAATTTGTTTATAATGAACTTGCTAGAATTTTTCAGTATTATCACTTTACTTCCTATACCTCTTCCATTATAGCTCCTTCTGTCTCTGCCACAGGACTGGTAGATGAATTCTCTCTTAATTTCTTAATGGTGTTAAAAGTCTACCAAAAAAAAAAAAAAATCACTTATCCTGGAGTTATAAAACATTAACAAAAAGTACAAATAACAAATACTTAATATTTCTCACAAAAAGACAGAACAAGGCAGGAAATTTTACCTTCAATATCCACCTAATCATGTCTTTGTGGACTTCTAGGTAGGGAGCATTTTGTAGTGTTTCCAGCATAGCTAGTATGCTAGGAGAATTGTTTGGTGCTTCACCAGGTTCTAAGGCGGAAAAATAAAAGACACAATAATAACAGCTAACACTTCATAGTGCTTAGGTCTATGCACAAGAAGATAAAAGAAGTTGTTTGTAACTTTTATTGGCCATCATTTGATTACAGCTCTAATTATTAGAGATTTTCAATACTTCTCAAGAATACAATGCATATTTGTACTTTATAAGCAAGTTGTTAACAACTGCAGTGCTTTAAGCATTTGAAACTTACTTCTCATACAAAATGATTATTTTAACATAGCCTCTAGCAAAATCAAATAAAAAACCAGCTAAAAGACTGGTCTACCTGAGATTTCACAAGTCTAAGAAAATGAATTAGGATTATAGGAATGCATTTAAAATAGATTTGTTCACTTTGCTCTTTTAATAAAAAGCTAGATTTAAAATAACTTTCTTCCTTACAAATTTTTCTGAGAAAAAGATAAACGTGAAGTCCATGTTCTCAAGGGTACATTTAATCCAATAGTAACAAACTCAGTTTCACAGTCAGAAATGCTCAGTTACTGAATTTCTTAAGTGCCACCATTCTGGCAAAATCTTCCTCTTCCCTAAGAGGGGAAGAGATTAAACTATGTGATCTTTAGTATCCTTCCAGAATTAAAATTCTGTGGCTGAGAATTAGGAATCTGACTCTAGATATGGGAAAGGATCTCCCCCCAATACATACATGTATGTATATATACACACACATACATACAGGGTCTTAAAGCATATAAAATGTTTAAAGAGAAATAACAGTAATGTCCAGGGAAAATGATGCTTATTAAAAAAAAAAAAAAAGAGTGAGGGAGAATCTGAGATCTTGTAGGTTCAGTGAAAAAAAATCAGGGAGTTTTTGGTGTGGTTATCCTAAAGTAAAAACACTGGATACAGAGAAAGCAAAAGATGCAATGTTTCATAGAAATGATAGCAGGAAGAGCAGGAAAAGGCTGGCACCCAAGAATATAGTCTTCAGGGTGGAAAGGCAGGTCCTTCTTTTATCACTTACTTTGCCGCCGGGCAAGAAGGAAAACTTAAGATCTAGCAGCAAAAGGGACTACTTTCTCTCCACCACCTGGTAGTAGTACCTAGTAATCTCATAGGCATTATCATTTAGGAAGAAATGACAGAGAACGTGACACTGAACAAAGTTATAGAAGTAATTCTTTGTTATCAAGGGATCCATAAACACCTATTATACCACCATAAATTCATATAAACACCTCAGCAAATACCTGAGCACAGGTCTGGGGCAGGGAAAGCACAAGATGAGCTGGGACATCTTTTGTGCCAGAGAGCAAGGTGGTGCTCAAATACTAATGGGGATGGGTTTTCAAAAGGACACAGAAGTCAGTTTGAATGGGCCCCTCACTGAACCAAGCTGGCACAATTTGCGTAGCAAAAGGAGTAACAATTATACTGACAGTAAAACACTGAATAAATAAAAATGCATGAGTATTATTTAAAAAACAACAAAAAAACACAACCCTACACAAACAAAAAAGACTTGCATTTGTCACCATCACAGGTAAATGTCAGAATAACTCCTTACTCTGAACATTAAGAAAAGCTTTCTTTTAGAGAAGAATGCTAACAAATACAGACTGTTGTTGCTGTTAGCTGTTGAGATGGCCCCCGACTCATGGTGACCCCGCGTACAACAGAATATAATGTTGCCCGGTCCTGGCCATTCCCATGATTGGCTGCAGATCGGATTTTTGTGATCAGTAAGATTTTTATTGGCTGATTTTTGGAAGTAGATAGCCTAGTCCATCTTAGTCTGGAAACTCCGCTGAAATCTTTCAGCATCGTGGCAATATGCAAACCTCCACTGACAGATGAGCGTGGCTGCTCATGAGGTGCATTGGCCAGGAAGGAATCATATAATTAGAAAATTACTAGTTTACAAGTTCCAGTGAAATAACTGATTCAGAAAGGATCATGAATGGCTGCTAAAGTGATTAAGGTAAAAAAGTTGCTTGAGAGTAGTATATTCTTGCAGTACCAAAATATCACCCCACAGACTAACTGCTAATTGCAACAGATCAATGAGGTGTTCTAGTGATCACCACTAAACCAAGTGAACAAACTTGGATCACTAATAGCGGGACATCTTGTCACTGTGTGTCTGATGTGACACGATATGAAGGACTCGGCATCACCTATAAAGTACTCTTCCCAAAAATGTTCAACCAAATTTAATCAAGGTCTAATTTTCCAGTTCATAGGAAATACAGGGGATAAAAGAATAAGTTAAACACCACCACAAGGAAACATTAAGTAAAACCCAAAATGTGAGCTATTTTATATGAAAACTAGCCTGGACTTTTCAAAATGACAATTCCTTTAAAAAAAATTAAGTTGGAGAGACTATGGAGACTAAAAAGAGATATACCAAAAAACAGTGCATTTTTCTTACCAGGATCTAACCTTAGATCCTTGTATAAAAAAAAGCAGCAATAAAAGATATTTTTGGGACAACTGGGAAAATCGGAATGTGACTGGATATTAGATGATATGTGGGAATTACTACTAATTTTCTTAGGTGTGACAATAGTACAGGTAGTAACCGACTTCTGACGGGGTTCTGTTTCAATGACTATTGTAAAATCGGTTCTGACATAAGTCGAATACCTCATTTCAAACTAACAACCGATGTTTCTTATGGTACAAAACGCTGAATAAGATCAAGCTACAGGCCTGGTGTACAACAAAGTCGACTTTAGTGTTGTAACAATGAAGTCGGAGTAGTAACGGCTGTCGGGTGTGTGTGCAGTTCAATTGTCATATGTCGTTAAGAGTTGAACATTGCCCAATTTTCTAGCCATTATGACTCCTGACAATGACTTCACTGCAGATCAGGCTGTAGCCTGCTATAAGGCAGTGTTTTCAACAGTAAATCATAAAATTGAACATCTGTGAGTGAACATCTGAGACTGATAACATCAGCAAATTACGTGATGCAACACTGTATGTAATACATATTACTAATGATAAAATGTAATAAAAAAGAAGAAGAAAAAAAAGACAGATGGGCATTCAGTTTGCTGTAACTCGAATATTTTGTAAGCTGGGGACTACATGTATTGTGGGATGTTGAAAAACGTTTCTCTTAGGAGAGAAATGCTTAATTATTAGAGATGAAATGTTATGATGTCTACAACAAATGGTTTTAAAACGTATACAAGTATAAACGCAAACAGAGCATTGAATCTAGCTTTACTGTACAACTTTTTCAACTTGTCTATATCTTTAAATTTTTCAAAATAAAAAGTTAGAGAAAATCTCCTTGGCCCTCTAAAAAAAAGTCACATTATTTTATAGAAAATAAAATATATATAATGATAATCTCACCCCCTCAGAGCTAATTTTCTTATTTTCAATACTGTAGAATCTTACATTTCTCTATGGTAGCAGCAAAAATTTAAAGGCAAAATCCTGATAGCATACTTACGGTATATCCTAGAGTTTAAATTTATGTGTTATACCCATTTCAAACTAAGGACTCCTCATTATTTTTGCTGTTTATGAATTAAATATATGTATTTTAAGTACGTACAGGCCCTAGGTATTTTTATAAAAATGTATCAGCATCTGATATAGTACCTTTAATTCAGAGATGTATAATATATGTACAGTCTCAAATATCTGGTTTCAATAGAGCGCATTTAAAATCTATTATGATCTAATAAAAGGGGTTATATTACATGTTTAAAATCACTTATATCTCTAGCTAGTTTAGTAAAAAGTGTATACATACTTGATATCTTCTGAGTGAAGGTAAACGTTACTACATGCTCTTCTCCGACAGTCTCTAAATGTTGTTTTTCTTCTTGCAGGGCCATTCCAATTAAGTGCAACACCTCAAATAAAACACATTCTTTTTTAACTTTTAGTAAAAAAAAATCAAGTACATATTTTTACAGGAAATAACAAAAAGGAAATTAATTCACTATTGAAGAAGGAGAAATCAAACTATTAAAGACAAAATGCAACAAAAACCAATTCAAGCTACCAACTTAAAATACTAAACTTGCTGTCTAACAAAGAATTCTCAGCAAGGAAAACAAAAAATTCTACTTCAGCTAGCAAGAAAATTCAACTGCAAATTCTTAGGATAAGCTAAAATTACCACCAGTGGCCTGTGACTCATGTAATACATAATTTTCCGTTTTATTGCATATCAGTGTCCAAATAATTACAGAGCTGAAAGTATCCACCATGTAATAATCTAGTCTATGATACTACTTACTAAAGACTACATCTTAAATTTAGTCAGACTAAATTAAGACAGACATATTTTTATCTCTACCTCTACCGTAACATAGTTTATAAGGATGTTTATAGTTCTTCAGTATATTTCACAAAAAATTCCTTACAAGACTTTTAAATAATACACACACACACACAAACAAACAAACTATGTTGAATCTACTGGCTTTTTATTTTTTTGCTCTTATCTTGCTCTTCAATTTTTGAAAGATATATGTGTGTGGTGCCTGTATCTTTCCTTCCATATTAGGCTATTCTGGTTCTCAGAAGCCTGAATGACACAAAGCTAATGTAAACATAGAACAAACACTGTTTACCCTTTTTCCTATCACTCCCTAATATAATACTGATATTCTCTATAGTGCACCCCAGCATCCTACTTTTAATTTCAAACGTATGTTTAAAATGGAAGGGGGTATAATTATACACATAGTATAGCCAATGAGATACTTCAGTCTGTGATAAAATGGAAAGAATGGTAGCTTTGGAGGAAGGCTGGACTGTGTTTGAATCCTGGCTTCCCTCCTTTCAAGCTACACACCCTCAGGGAACCCCACTGAGCCTATTTCATCATCTTTAAAACAGAAATAACATCTTCTCTCTAGAAATATCAAAGTACTGCATATACAAAGACAGATCAGGACCAATTAAAGAGCAGTGAGGCAGACTGGTGAATGGGACTGAGGTAATCACAACAACGTGGCATAAAAAAATTCTCCATGCTTTTGCCACGCACTCATTTTCACTGCCAGAAACAACACCAGTAACAAGCAACTATATATTTCAAATTAAGATAATACTGTACATTTTTGTCCTAATTTTCTCTGTACAGATACTGAGAAGAGTATTTTGGCTTTTACTACAAAAGCACTAAAATATAAATAATAAATGTCTTCAAACCTACCCTCTGCAGCATGGACTCTGACCAGGCATATCCATTATGTTCTACAGCCCACTGTAGTATTGTTCCCATGATCCACAACATGACATCTGATTGCAAAATGTTAACCAGACTTGCAAACAAAGGGCAGAATGGAGGTAAAACTGGAGGTGGAAGTGCTGAAAATAAAGTTATTATTGGTTACTTTTGTAGATCATGCTTATAAAAAACCCATCCCTTTGTCAAGATACTTTTGATAGTCTATCGCTCAAAGAGTATTCATTAACAAACATCTAAAATCTATATTTTACCTTCTCAAGGTCAAGTACATAAAAACAGCTACATAAACAGCACAGGTACAAAGGAAAGCCTTCTTCCCCCTAGAAATGTCTTATGATCTAAAATAAACCATTAACCCAGAGGTGAATCAGTACAGACCACTTTTATATTAGCATATTTATTATTCCTTTGAATAGGAGAACATTTACTTCGAGAGCTTATGTTTAAATCTTTCACTTCACCAAGGTTCATCATGGTAATAGTTAATTCAAAACGATGTTTTTTAAAATGGTCTTATATACAATTGTTGGCATAGCAGTCTTGCCACTCATACCTTATTGTAAAATAAGCAAAATAGACTGACATAAGATTTTTGAAAAAAGAAATTAAAAATACCTGTGTCTTCCCTATTTTGTCTTTTCAATTTCCGCTGAGCTTCTTCTGCCTAATAAAAAAAAGAAAGTAATTTGGATTAGAAATTATTAATACAAACAACTTAATATCCTAAACTACTGACGTTAAGTTAATCTTCGCTATGTTATATTCTGATTCTAGAAGATTTTCATTCTTAATGTTGTAGTCCCCCCAAAATTTAGATACCAACATTAATTTTTTTCCACTAACAGAAGCCAAAAATGAGTTATCTGTTGCATTAAAATGCAGGGGAGACATGTACAAACCCAAATCAAAAATCTTATTTAGGTCTGAGATCCATGAGCATCAAAAGCTAAACAAAGTTTCATTAAAAAAGTGTTTTAAGAGCAGACTGCTAAAAGTCAAAATTTAACTACCTAAGATTAAAAAAATACCAAACCTGTTGCCACTGAGTCGATTCCGACTCATAGCGACCCTATAGGACAGGGCAGAACTGCCCCATAGGGTTTCCAAGGAGCGCCTGGTGGATTCGAACTGCCAACCTTTTGGTTAGCAGCTGTAGCTCTTAAGCACTACTCCACCAGGGTTTCCTACCTAAGATTAGAACTCTATAAATTTCTATGTATAAAATGGACTAATGGTTATAATACAAGTTCACAACCAGTTTTCAAAAGCCAACAAGATAATACAATTATATATGTGTGGGTCTTGGGAGACAAGACTTGCCAATCTACTCCTGTAAAGATTACAGCCTAGGAAATCCTATGGGGCAGTTGGAATCAACTGGACGGCACACAAGTGCAACAACAAAGGTATAGAATTATATAGACCTTATATATGTACACACAAAACACTGTTAGGTGGTGTTATTATAGGTAATTTGTATTTTTTTCTTTATATCCTTTTTATATTTTCCAAATTCTCTACAACAAAAATGATCCTTTTTCAATCTGTGTAAAACAGAAAGTTGTTTAGGAAAAAAAAATCTGGCCCTTCCCCAGTATACTTTTAATTTTCCCAATTACCTTGGACTGCTCTGCCCTTGAAAAGTGATAGAAATACAAGTTGAACTCTTTGGCGCACTCTGGTTTCAGCTCATACATGCCTCGTCCTGTTAATCCAGGTTTCCTATGAAAGAAAAGTCCTTCAAATATTATTACTAAAGTCACACACTAATTCATGAGACAGCATTAGATATCAGAGTAAGACAGCAGAGCTCTCATAGACTAGTGGGGAGAGTAAACTGGTATATTTTCCATGGGTTAATGTGGCAATCTAAATCAAAAGTTTTATGTGCATTTACTTTATCTAGCAAGTCCACTTTGAATGTATCCTAGCTAGACAAGTCACTGAATTGAACTGTAATAGCAACAATTTTAAAGTCTAACAGGGAATAGGCTACATAAATTACAACATTTCCATACAACTAAACACTATTCAAAGTGATGTTAATCTCTATATTCTGACATGGAAAATTCTATTAAGTGGAAAAAAGCAGGTGACATTTTAGAAAAACATTTTCACAAGAGCATATACCAGTACTACTGAAACTATTTCAGAACAAAAGAAAAGGAAGTGATACTTCCGAATTCATTCTATGAAGCCAGGATAACCCTGATACCAAAACCAGACAAAGATGCCACAAAAAAAGAAAATTACAGACCAATCTCTCTCATGAATACAGATACAAATTTCTCAACAAAATTCTAGCCAAGAGAATTCAGCATCATATCAAAAAAATAATACACCACGACCAAGTAGGATTCATACCAGGTATGCCAGGATGGTTCAACATTAGAAAATCAATCAACATAATAAACCACATAAATAAAAGGAAAGAAAAGAATCATATGATCATCTCGATCAACACAGAAAAGACATTCGACAAAGTCCAACACCCGCTCGTGATAAAAACTTCCAATGAAATAGGTATAGAAGGGAAATTTCTCAACATAATAAAGGATATCTAATCTATACAAAACCAACAGCCAACATCATTCTTAATGGAAAGAGGCTGAAAACATTCCTCTTGAAAACAGGATTTAACACTGTGCTGTAAGTCCTAGCTAGAGCAATAAGGCAAAAAAAAGAAATAAAGGGTATCCAAATTGGTAATGAAGAAGTTAAGCTGTCCCTATTTGCGGACGATATGATACTGTACATAGAAAACCCAAAGGACTCCATGAGAAAACTACTGGAACTAATAGATTCTGCAGAGTAGCAGGATACAAGATAAACATACAAAAACCAGTTGGATTCCTATACACTAATAAAAAGAACAATGAAAGGAAATTAGGAAAACAATACCATTTATAATAGCCCCTACAAAAATAAAATACTTAGGACTAAATCTAGCCAGGGATGTAAAAGACCTATACAAAGAAAACTACAAAACGCTACTGCAAGAAGCCAAAAGAGATCTACATAAATGGAAAAACATACCATGCTCATGGACAGGGAGACTCAACATTGTGAAAATGACAATTCTACCCAAAGCAATTTACAAATACAATGCAATCCCAATCCAAAACCAGTAACATTCTTTAAAGAGATGAAAACTAATCATTAACTTTATATGGAAAGGGAAGAAACCCCAGATAAGTAACGCACTACTGAAGAAGAAGAATAAAGTAGGAGGACTCGCACTACCTGACCTCAGAACCTACTATACAGCTACGGTAGTCAAAACAGCCTGGTACTGGTATAAGGACAGATACATTGACCAGTGGAACAGAACTGAGAAGCCAGGTGTAAATCCATCCACCTACAGTCACCATCTTCGACAAGGGCCCAAAGTCCATCAAATGGGGAAAAGACAGTCTTTTTAACAAATGGTTTTGGCAAAACTGGATATCCATCTGCAAAAAAATGAAACACGACCCATATGTCACACCATACACAAAAACTAACTCAAAATGGATCAAAGACCTAAATATAAAGCCAAAAATTATAAAGTTCATAGAAGAAAAATAGGATCAATGCTAGAGACCCTAATACACAGCATTAACAGGATACAAACCATAACCAACAACACACAAACTCCAGAAAAACTAGATAACTGGGATCTTCTAAAAATTAAACACGCTCATCAAAAGACTTCATCAAAAGAGTAAAAAGAGAACCTACAGACTAAGAAAAAAAATTTGGCTATTACAAATCAGACAAAGGTCTGATCTCTAAAATCTACAGAAAATCCAGCACCTCTACAACAAAAAGACAAACAATCCAATTAAAAAATGGGTAAAGGGAATGAACAGACACTTCACCAAAGAAGACATTATAGCAGATAACAGAAACATAAGGAAATGCTCACAATCACTAGCCATTAGAGAAATGCAAATCAAAACCACAATGAGATACCATCTCACTCCGGCATTACTGGCACAAATCAAAAAAAAAAATGGAAAATAACAAATGTTGTAGAGGCTGCGGGGAGATCAGAACTCTTATGCACTGCTGGTGGGAATGCAAAATGATACAACCATTTTGGAAAATGATATGGTGCTTCCTTAGAAAGCGAGAAATAGAAATACCGTATGATCCAGCAATCTCACTCCTAGGAATTTATCCTAGAGAAATAAGAGTTGTCACACAAATAGACATATGCACACCCATGTTCACTGCAGCACTGTTCACAATAGCATTAAGATGGAAACAACCTGGACGCCCATCAACAGATGAATGGATAAACTATGGTACATATACACAATGCAGTATTACGCAACAATAAAGAACAATGATGAATCTATGAAGTATCTCATAACATGGATAAATTTGGTGGGCATTATGCTGAGTGAAATAAGTCAATCACAAAAGGACAAATATTGTATGAGACCATTACTGTAAAAACTCATGAAAAGTTTTACACACAAAAAGAAACAATCTTTAACGGTTATGAGGGAGGGGAAAGGTGGAGATACAAGAAAAAGAAAAAAAAGAAAAATATTTTCACAGTTCTGTGGTTTAGAAAAACTTCCTAGGCAAGTTATGAAACCCAGAAGCCGTAAAAGACACAAAGATTTAAGTCCCATGAAAATTAAATTATATGAAATGATACCATAAACAAAGTTGAAACCCAAGTGACAGTCTGGGAGAAAATATTTGTTATGTATTTAATATCTTAAAAATTAATTTCTCTAATATACATATAAAAAAAAGCCTATGGAATAATAAGATAGAGACAATCTTAAAGAAAAATGCACAAAAGTATAAATAAACACAAGAAAAGACACTCAACCTCACTGGTAGTTAGAGAAATGCAAACTGAAATAACAAGGTAACATTTCCCACCCAACTGATGTGTAGAAATTAAGAAAACTGTACATCTCAAGTGTTGGCAAAGCTGCAGGGCACTCTCAGACACTGCTAGTGTAAACTGATGACTTTTTTGGGAAGACAATTTGGAGGTATGTATCAAAATGTAACATGTGCCTTCTCTTTGAGCTAACAAATCCTCAAAGAAATACTTTTACACATCAAAATGTGTGATATGTGCAAACATGTTCAATACTTGGTTGTTTATAATAGAGAAAATGCAGACACTTAAGTGTCCATCAATAGGGAAGAGGTTAAATAAATTACAGTACATGACTACGAAAAAGTAAAGAATGAAGTAAACCTATAGGTACTGACAAGGCATATTAGATTGAAAAAAAAAAGACACAAACATATAGAAATACCCCAAAGCCAAAAAACCAAATCCGTTGCCATCGAGTTGATTCTGACTCATACTGACCCTATAGGACAGAGGAGAGCTTCCTCCCTAGGGTTTCCAAGGAGCGGCTGGTGGACTCAAACTGCCGACCTTCTGGTTAGCAGACAACCTCTTAACCACTACTCCAGAAATACCCCAATAAAGTTTAATTTAAAAAAAAAAAAAAAGGCTATGGAACAGTAAATACAAAATGAACAAATTTTTATTGAAGTATATAACTTTCTAGTTCTTATGTACACATATAGATATAAGTGTTACAAGCAAATAAAAAAGTTCAGAAAGATATACATCTAAATGTAATTAAAGTCAACTGGGAGTGGTTGGATAATAAATGGTATTTTTTTCTTTTTACTTTTCTGTATTTTCTGTAAAAGCATGTACTGTCTTCATAATCAACAAAAATAAATACACTGCCATTGGGGTGGAGTAGGGAGCAAGAAAAAAAGTAGGCTTAAGCAACTGCCTCAAGAACCTTAATAGGACAAACTAATTTAATGACTCGGCAACAGAGTGGACACTAAAGAGGGCAGCATTTACAGACTAGTTCACAATTTAGGTGGCACATTCAAATGGAAACAAAGAAAAGAAATCTGAAGAAAGCTCAGTGCATTTACTTAGATTACCTGCTCAGTGAAACCATCAGCTATGAACCCCTACTGTAAATGTAGTGAAAACCTTCATAAAGTTAACTTGAAGTTATTGTTTGCAGGCCTAGATTACAAGAGTGAAATGTCAGTGAGAAATCTAGTTGAGAGTTATGAATTTCAAAATATTTGTCACTCTCTGAAAGCAACAACTTCATGCTCAGTTCCAGCAAAGGAAACAACCTAAGAAAGATGAAAGTATAAAAATATGGAATGGGAAATAATAGTAGCTCACTTGAAATGGGCAACTGCTTCAATTACACTCTCCATGCCAGTCTCTTTGTTCTCCTAAAGATATAAGAAAAGATATGTGTGTTTTGTGTTAATAATTGCTAACACTCTGAGAACTATGCTTTTATCTCATTAATTCTCATAGCAACCTATGAAGTAGATATACTATTAGCCCTACTTTTACAGATGAGGATCCCATAGTAAACATAATGATTAATATACAACTAGGCAGACTATTTGGTAAGCTGACATTCATTCAGAATGCTATAATTAAAAAATAAAAAAGTCACTACCATATAGAATCAAGGTAACAACTTTCAAAAGAATTAAATGAAAATACAAAGTCTACGTATAACATTTAAACAAAATATATCTAAAATAGTTATAGCTTGTGAAATAGTTATACTAATTTCTTATCTAGTTTCAGTAAAACAGCATTTCCCAAATCATATTTCATTCATGACAACCAAGATGTTAGTAAGAATTCTGAATTCCTGTTTGAATAAAAAAATTTCTGATAAAAAAGGTCTGGGAAACATGGTTTAAGAAAAATTAAATATGTTCCTTTACGGTAAGACTCTCAGAGTCTTTATTTTGCTAATATTAATTGATTCTCCAAAAGATAACATACTATAGAGCAGTACTAAAATATATAGCATCACTGAACTTTTCCCCCAGGATTTTCATTTACTATCTTGTGGATTCTGTAGGACACAGATCTAGTGATTATACTATCACCTTGTATAAGGCATATAACACTTTTAAAAAGCTGTCTCAAGTTTTATACTTCCTTAACCTAAAAAAAAAAAAAAAATAGTTGCTATCGAGTCAATTATGACTTGGTGACCCCATGTGGGTCAGAGTAGAACTGTGCTCCATAGCGTTTTCAGTGGCTGATTTTTTTGCAAGTAGATCACCAGGCCTTTCTTCTGAGGTGCTCTGGGTAGATTCAAACTGCCAAACTTTTGGTTAGCAGCCAAACGTGTTAATCGTTTGTATCACCCAAGGACTCCCCTTATCCTAAAGCCTAGGTTAAATTATAATTGTTTCCTCATCTAAGAACTCAGAATTTATTTCCTGCACTAAAAAAATACAAGCCATTTTATCTGAATAGATATTTGGAGATATTAAGAAATTATTAATTACTGTTAATTTTTTAGGTGTAACAATGGTATATGGATTTAAAAAAAAAATCCTTCATCCCTTTAGATCTGAGTTTCTCAACCTCAGCACTATTGACATTTTGGACTACACAATTCTTCGCTGTGGGAGTCTGTCCTGTGCATTGTAGGATGTTCAGCATCATTCCTGGCCTCTACCCACTAGATGCCAGTACTATCCTCCCTTTCCCTGAGGAGTGACAGTGAACAATGTCTCCAGACATTGCCAAATGTACCCGTTATAAATACATACAGTCCTGTTTATAGATGAAACAACAAATCTGGTATTCTGTACAAAATAATCCAGTGAGTGGATAAGGGTCAGTGGTAGGAGCATAGATGATACAAGATTGGCCATATGTTGAGGCTGGTGATGAGTACATGGAGTTTGTTATATTTTCTATTTCTGTAGATGTTTGAAACTTTTACTAAAAAGTTTTTAGAAAGTATTATTATACAACAAATATAAGACAGGTTGATATCCCAGAAGAACTGTTAAGTTGAAAGTTTCGATCCGTGTTTCAAACTTGGGAAAACATTACCTTGAAAAGCCTCGATGAAAATAAAGTCCTTTACTAACTATAAGTCCTTTACTAACTATTAAGTGTTAAGTTTCTGAAAAGCCCCATGGCTGAAAAATAGATGGTTGAGGAACTTAAGAACCAGAGAGGAAAAATAACTGCAATTCAACCTATGAATATTCTTGTGAATATTATTTAACATTCATTAAGATGAAATAGATGGCTCACTAAGGAGAGTCACTTAATGCCTGAGAAGGAGAAGACTGAAAAACTGAGTAGGTATTTTCCCACTCCTTTTCCTCAACGTGTTAAGTTACAAAGCACTATCTCTACTTGTGGCAACTTCACACTAAGGGCCTTATAACAGCCTCTCTCTAACAGATACAGAAATTCAGTTCTAAGAGCTGGGCTTATTTTTTTCTTTTTTCCCCAGCATCCTTACCTCTTTTTCAAGGCTTCAGTGTAAAAGATTCTATCTCTATTTTGCTTTGTACATAATAGATAGATAGGTATGAAAAGATTTTCATAATTTGCTTTTTAAAAATGTTGGTACTTACATCTTCAGGTAAAGACTTTACCAACTCACTATGAGCCATAGGTCTAATGCTCAATTGATGGATAATCTCCCGCTTAATTTCATCTGTAGAATTTACCATTCCAACTCCAGGACTAAATCTCTCTCCTGTTAATAATGAAAAAGTATATATACGCACATTTAACATAATCATAATACTTGTGTGGATTACACCTAAAATTCATGCAACACAATGTATTTCTCTATATAAGTCTCTCTGTGCAATGGGAAAGCAATGACTGGTCTGGCAACAAGCTATGGAAAGAGCAGCTCTGATCATACTTTTGAGTCTCAGATACAACAGATGAGTGCACACTTCAGGCAGTGGAGAGAGAACTCTGGTTGCTGCTTTAGAGGAAAAGGATCAGAAGAGCAGTAGCTTGGGAAACTGGTTTCACTCCATCTGCCATATGGTAGAAAGAGAGAGCCTTCCTCTCCCGTTCTATCTAGAGGCAAATAAGATACCACCTACTGAAAACTCACACATTGGTATCACCTCCTGACAGTAGTCAGGATTCTCTGCTCTATGGACTGTAGAGGGTCTGAAATAGGAAGGAAGGTGGGACAAGGTAAGGGATAAAAGAATGGAAAAGAGGGAGGAAAAAAGGACTAGAAATACCAGCAACAAAAAAAGAAAGCTGTGTCTATTAGCTATGTTGTTGTTGGGTGCCGTCAAGGTGATTGTGACTCATAGTGACCCCAGTGACAGCAGAACTGCCCTATAAGGTTTTCGTGGCTGTAATCTTTACAGAAGCAGATCACCAGGTCTTTCCCCTATAGAGCCGCTGGGTAGGTCCCAACCACCAATCTTTCAGTTAGCATCAAGAGCTTAACAGTTGCGCCACCCGGGCTCCTTTCTATTAGCCATAGGTCTCCATTAAATAGGAACTGGGGTCCTGGTGGTGCATGGTTAAGAGCTCAGCTGCTAACCAAAAGGTTGGCAGTTCGAATCCACCAGCCGCTCTTTGGAAACCCTACGGAGCAGTTCTACTCTGTCCTATAGGGTTTTTTTTTTTTTTTTTTAATGTCACAAAGTCATTTTTGCATCACAAAACCATGGAGAGAAACATAGCTAAGATATAAAGTAATGGTGAATAGCTCCTAAATATCCTATTCCTTGCTTGATAAATTCTCCTCTCCTCATTTTTAACGCCAAACTTAGAATCTTCCAGTTTATTCTGCTCCAGTAATTGTATGCTATCCTTTCTCCAAAGCACAATCACTCTGAACATTACAGTAACTAGAGGGAAGAAAAGATGGATACTCCAATCCCCCTTCCCTAAAACTGAGCATCAGCTCTAAATAAAAAAAACATAGTTTCGAAATTCTGAACTATTTGCTACCACAAAATCCAATATAATTTATAAACGTCTCAAACAATCCAAACTTACCAACAAGCATTATAATGAGGTATAGCATCTCTTCTATTAGAGTATTGTTCTGCTGTATGACATCCTGTAACAAGTGGGAGGAGATAAAGTTCAGAGATAAGAATATGCATACTGTATCTCAGATAATAACAAAAAACGAAAGGTGCTTCTTTAGTGATGTGTCTTGTAAAACATGTTCTTACCTTATGGGTAATCTCGGAGCTAAATCTTTTTCCGTAGTCTGGAGTACTGAAAATCTGATAAAGATCAAAGCGGCTGAGCATTATCATCAGGAAATGATTTGGATCCATCATGGAGACACCTGTCTTTTTTTTTTTTTTAATGTTTGCGATAAAGGAAAAGAGGGAGGTCAAAAGAGTTATTACACAATTAATGCTATTTTGCTTTGCACAACAGAAAGTAGCTTATTTATTCACCAGTCCCAATAAAAGATGGAAACCCATTTAGTCCCAGTCCTTACTGTGTTAGGTAACAAGTGTGGGCAGGAACTTAAGCAAATAAAACAAAATAAAACCTAAGTCTACACATCAGGTTAACATGGACTATGAATTCTCTTTTCCTTTAATGCTTTAAAATAAGTGTACCCCTATAAATTCAGCTCCCAAGTTTTATTTCAGGGTTTTCTGATCACTGTTTGGTCTATGGACTCTGAGAGAAATGTACGTCAATTAACCTTCTAGTACTGTTTTATATACATTATATTAAACTTTTAGCAAGAACTCTCAACCTATTTATTTAACAATATCTCTTTACGTTCTGGTTGTTCTGCTTCCAGTTACTCTATTTTTCCTGCCCCCTTATTGTCTCATCTCTGCTTTAGAGTAACTGTTGACCTTTTGGTCTCATATAGATGGTTTTTTAATGGAGCACCGTACTCACAGATAATATGATATCCTTTGTTTTGTGTGCCAGTCTGTTACTTTGCTAAAAGGTGACCCTGGTATCAGTTTTTTTTTTTGTTTTTTTTTCCTGGGATCAGTTTGGACTCAAGATTAAAGAGTACCTCAGGGTGACAGTATCAGAGAGTCTTCTAGTCTCAACTGATCCAGTAAATCTGAACCTCCTAAGAATTTGAGTTCTGTTCCACATTCTTCTCCCCTTCTATCTGAGTTCATCTATTGTGACCCTGATCAGAACAGTTGGGAGTTGTAGCCCGGCACCATCTACTTCTTCTGGTCTCAGGGTAGATGAGGCTGTTGCTAGTGTCAACCTACTTTTTGTAGTAAACACTATACTAACAGAAGAGACAGTTTTTAAAATTAGTTTCAAGTGTCCTTTAATTTCATTTGTATAAATTCTAAATTAACCTAGCTTTTCATTTATTTTGAACTTATAATTTTCTTTGAAATTCATATTTCTTGACTTTCTGTTTCTATAATTACGAAATCCATCCAGCAATAATATGAAACAACTACTAGTGACAAGCATTGTGCTAGGCACAAAGGACAAAAAAATGAACAAGATACAGTTGCCACGGTTTAGTGGGGGAGACAAAAAGTAAACAGGCAATCATAATGTAGTTATAAATGCTTTGGCAAGGATAAACACCAAGGGTCCTCAAGAAAGGGATACTTAATCAAGGTTTGGTGGGCCAGGGAAGACTTGGAGAAAGTCACACTAAACTAAGGCTTGCAGGAAAGAAGTCAGCTAGGTGAGGTAAAGGAAGAAGCAGGCAATCGAGGGAGCAAAAGAAATAAACGTGCAGAGTTTAGACTTAAGAGATAGCACGGCAAATTCAGGGAATTTTAATGTAGTTAAATATTGCTGGCATAGGACTATCGAATGGAGAGTATCATAGGATTTGAAGACCAGTTTAAGGAGTTTGGGTTTTTAATCAGAAGACAATGAAGAAAGAATGGCTTTCAGATTTCTGGCTTTAGCAATTGTATACATTGTGGAACAATTCACCAAGGTAGGTGAAGAGCAGTGAATTACTTAATATGGTTCTTCTAGCCATGCGTGGTCTTCTGACTTCTGTAAAATGACTGGGTAAGAGTATGCAAATAAGGTACTTGTGGCCCACCAAGGGCAATGAATAACTTGCTAATAATGCAAATAAGGAGCATGGCACCCTTGCAGGGGTAAAACCATGCAAATAAGGTGTATGGAACCCTAACTAGGGGATTGGTTAGTTTTGCTATCTGCCAGGCTTAAAAGACAGCCAATCCCAGAACAGAGGGGAGCTCTCACTATTACCAAGAAAGAAGAGCCAGGAGTAGAGTATGTCCTTTGGACCTGGGGTCCCTGTACTGTGAACCTCCTAGACCCAAGGGACAAAGAGCTATAACACTGGAGACAGTACAAGACAGCTAGAAGTTGCAGCAAGCATGGCAGAGAACGACAAGACCAGCAGAAGACAGTGCAGTGGACTTCCCAGCCCACAGAGCGAGACAGCTGAGTGCCTTCGGGCAGGAGGCTTACTGGCAGAGTGTGGTGCCTCCAGGCACTTGGCAGAGCTAGGTTCACAGACCCATGGAACAAGAGAGCTGAATGCTGTCAGGCAGGAGGCTTGCTGGCAGAATGGGGTGCCTTTGGGGGCACGTACTGGTGGAGCTAAAGAGCTTTGTAACACTCGCCTGAGCAGGGCAGAGGCCAGGCCAGTCCAAGAGGCCTACAAGGCCCAGGGGGCCAAGGGCCAGGGAGAGGTCTGCCTGTGGGTACAGCCGAGAAGTTTTACTGACTGAAGAACTGTATCCCGAGTCATTCCTGATACTGAATTGTAACCTGTTACTTCCCTAATAAACCTCCAAATCACGTGTATTGTCTGTGAGTTCTGTGTGGCCATTACAGCAAATTATCGAACCTAGGAGAGAAGTATAGAGTGCTGTGGGAGGGACGGCTGGTGTCAGAAATCAGTAAAAAGGTTGGAGAAAGGAAGTATGTCTGACCTCTGCTTCACAGGAATCAGCTTTGGGCTGATGCTGATTCTCCCTCCCCCTCGTGAAGTCAGAGGAAGTCAACGCCCCCACCACACCATTTTTACAGTAGGGAACATACGACAGGGAGAAGGTATGGAAAAAACAAGAAGAATTGTTTTGAACTTGTTAAATCTTGAGATGTGTCCAGTAAATCCAGATGGAAAAGTTCTATAGGTTGTTAACTATAAGAGTCTGAAGCTTAACAGACAGGGCTAGGATGGAGTTACTGATCTGGAAGCAATCATAATCGACTGGGTTCTATGGCAATAACAAGAAGTAGAAGATGCCCCCCACCTCCTCCACACAAACTTTAAGTATAATGCTTTTAAATTCATTACCTGAAGCATTACTATATCCTTGTCAAACATCTCCCGTCTGCATTTTACATTATGGTAATAATAAATCTAAAAAAAAAAATTTAATTACATTGGGTAACTAGGTTTCATTTACCCAACCCCCTCCTCACCCCACTCCCCCCAAAAGCACACAGGTTTCTACAAGCGTGAGCATGCGCGTGCAAACACACACATACAATGTGGTTTCCTTAACAGTTATCACTACTCTTAGTAGAGATTAACTGATCGGAAACTTCTAGATTACAGTGTTCACTCTATGGTTCACATTTTGCAGCCAACTTTCTGGGTCTTGCAACAAAATAAATGGTTGTTTCAGTAAGGTTCATAGTTACCAAAAAAAGAAGAAAAATCCATACCATACCCTGTTGAGGTTTAAAAATTAAAACCTCAATTTCAAAGATACACTAACGGAATTTTTAACTTCTAACCCAATTTAATTTAAATAGATGAAAACTATTTTTATTATTATTTTTGAAATAGCCCCAACTTCGTTCTAAGAAATGATTTCAAGTGAAAATCAAAACCACTGTCATTCATTTTTACTTTTGATATTATTTCTTGACAAACTATAAATGAAAGTTCTAAGAAATTTTTTGGTTTATCATTTGATTTATATTTTAAACAATGTGAATATAGGTATTCAACTTTCAATGACTAAGTAGCCTGAAAATTACAGCCTTCACAGAGGCCAAAAAATGGAATGAAAAATCCTCATAGAGTTAAAAAAAATACTTACCTGGTTTACTAGAGAAAACCCATTTCTTCTCCACATTCCAGCATGTACTTGGGCACATAAAACAAGACATCTAAGAGGGTGTTCTATCAACATGGGTGGGCTAAGTTCACTCTGTACATTAAAAAAAAAACAAACAAACATCTCAACTGTTATAAAGAAGACTGGCTGATAGGGAGGAAAGCTTTCTATAAAACAGGTTAAAATTATTTCAAGACATTTTTTGTTTTAAAGTGATTTCAAATACATGAAACACAGTAAGTATGTATTTACTTTTAAATCTCAGAACCACTTACTAGAGGTAGGAGCTCTGGAAATTTATATGCCACTTCACTTTTGCTTAATAATGCATGCAAACCTGCATGGAAGAACAAACAAAAAAGTATTTTTATATGTGAAAATCATTTGGAAAAGAAAAATTCAAATATTTACTCAACTTTATATCTAACTTCTTTACTGTCTCTTTGAGAATCTTTAAATTAAGATGTAAAATGAACTGCATCCATAAATGAAGCTTCTCAATTGTTATTCTTATGAACCTCTGTATAAAATGCACACTTAGAATTCAAGCTTTCATCACATGTACTGACATATAGTGAGGAAATTTTACAGAAGTAAATCCTAGATACACAAATACAGTAAAAAGCTACACAACTATCAAAGCAATTTATATATGTTATGGCAACTCTGTCATATTTCACTTGAGTCATGGAGTTTGTTACAACTTAAAAGTATAGAAGTAAGAGATCTTTCTGGCAACTTAACAGAGAAATTGGTCCTAACATTCGTGGTCTGCACTGATACTGACCTCAGAATTAAGTCTCTCAGAACTTCCAGCTTAGGATCAAAGTCTCTTTAGTTCTCATCTGCAACAGGCTCTTTTATGGCTCAACCTCAGCTCATTCTGATTACAGTCTACTTATCTTGTTGCCTAAACAGAGAATGCTCTTTATAATCTTGTCAGTCTATGTTGGCCACTTGTTCAAGCCTGGTTTTACACCTCTGAGAAGACTTGCATTACTAATCCCATCGTAGTTAACTGCTTCTCAATATTTACTACTAATACTCCACTATCACACACTCCAAGCTGTTCCTGAACTATTCTGTGTATATTTATTTACTTAGCTTTCCAATTAGATTACAAGCATTCAGGCCAAGGTTTATCAAATACAGTGAGATAAAAATGCCCAAAAATGTTCACTGAACAGATCTGAGGTAGGTAAGGAACTAGGTAGAAATAGTATATCTTCAGAGAACTGACAATTTTCCCAGTGGATAAACCATCAATGTCAGATTCCATTCATACAACCCGATTTTTAAAAGCAGAAGAGACCAGCGGCTGAGTTGGAGATGTGACCCACTTTCCTGCCTTCTAGTCCAGTACTTTTCCAGAACACCATGCTATCACTTGCTTATGTTGAGGATCAACAGTTCAGTATGTTCAAAGCACTTAAACAAACGAATGAAAACAAAATTGGACATAAACAAGTTACAGGAATAAGAGATATTTCTTCTTACAATCATAATTTCATTCTAGGCAGTTATTTGTTGTTCCATTTGTTGTACTATTTTGATATTCTTGTGACTAAGAAGAACACTTCATAAGCCCCAGAATACGTATCATAAATTACCAGGATTTCAATAACATCCCAAAAGACTGCTGGAATGCTAGGGTTTGTAAGCAGGATAACGTGACAATGCTCAGAATGATTTTAAAAAGTCTTCAGAAATGAAAGTGGGATCGTCATTACTGATCCCATGTATGTTAAAAGGATAATAAAGGAATACTATGAACAACTCTATGCCCACAAATTTGATAACTTAGATGAAACAGACCAATTCCTTGGAAGATACAAACTACCAAAACTCAAACAAGGAGCAACAGACAACCTGAATAGGCCTGTATCTATAAAAGAAATTGAATCCGCAATTAATAACCTTCCAAAAAATCTGAAAGCATCAGGTTCAGATCACTTCACTGGTGAATTCTACAAAACATTAAAGGAAGAAATGATACCAATTCTCCATTATCCCCCCACCGCCTCCCAAAATGCCTTCACAACACATTAAGTTAATGAGCCATATATTTAAGGTAAATATCTTTAGAGGTTCTCTTCTTTCTATTCTCAGAGTTAAAAATCAAACAACTAAAGAGAACAATAGTGTGTGAGCAGGCTAAGAATACCTAGAACCAAGAAAATATAAAGGTGCTACTGAAATTAATCTGTAGTGACAGACAAGTCCATATTCAAAATCTTTGGCTACTGCAAGCTAGTAGCTTCAAATACTCTACCAATTATAAATGGCTTATAAATCAACTACTTGATTAAAAAATCATCAACCCGATTTGGGAATCGCTCTTGATCTGCTGCTTAAAAGGTTATCAATAAAAGAGTGAAAAAGAGGGAGAGAAAAGTAGGGGTGGTTTCAATTCATTAGCAACTGCTTGAGTGATAGATTGGACTGAATGGTAACAACACAGACTTTGAAGCTGAGCTGAGTTAACAGTAAAACGTGGTTATCTGTAGTTAAGAACTGCAAAGAAGCACTTATTGTGCAATGGTTATAATTATGTCTTCAGCTGCTAAACTGCCTTAAATCCTAACTGTCTCTTTCTTGCTGTGTGACACTACGCAAATCACTGTCTGTGCCTCAGTCTTCCTATCTGTAAAGTGACCTTAACCCTTTAATGGATGAAATTTTGGGGGGAATTTTTTGGTGATACCATGTATTTTCACTAATGATTCATGGAAGGTGAATCACTGTTTGTTGGTAGTTTTTTACTGTTTGAAAACATGGGGTGCCAATTGCAAGCAGGCCATATTGGTACCATGTTCCATGAAGCATATCACAAATGTGGTACATATCGGTACCACGGCCTAGGAATTATATAAAAGATGTCATTAGGAAGGCAAGCACTTTATAAAAGATGTCATCAGGAAGATGACTAATGCAAGCAGGCCATATCTGTCCCATGAAGCATATCACACATGTAGTACACAGTGGTACCATGGCCCAGGAAGTGCATCACAAACTGTTTTTACCCCAGAAATAACTCATTTACTTGAGTATTTTCAAATGCCAGTGAGCATACCTTCCTAATAACACAAAGGAAATAGTAAATATACTTGCAAGCCTTATCTCTCCGTACAGAAGCCAAAAGTGTGTAAAGTTTCACACAATCATTCCTCCAGGAAGCATCCCCTCATATGAACAGCTCTCAATGCTCAAATGTGGTGCAGACCAATTTTCCGGATTTTTAGGCAGTTGCAACAGTATCCACCACGATGTCAGAAGGTACTAAAGAGGCTCAAATGCCTGCCAATAAACCTCCAGGGGAGGAAAATGTAGCTGGTACATATATGCTCAGTGCCCATAATATCTGCCTTATCAGCCAATGTGATAATTAAATGTAATACATGGAAAACTCAGAAAAATGCCTGGCACATAGTTAAGTAACAAATACATAGTAACAACAAACAACAATTTAAAAAGTAATTCCACGGTTCTTCTTCATTTTGGGAAATACTTTACCTGCAAGTAAGCGAGAAACTGGGAGGTGAATGCTAACTTTTTCTTGGGAAACACAGTATCTGATAGTTTCCACTGAATGTCCACAAATGCTTAGTGTGATTGGCTGTTCACCATCAGTAAAACCACTGTGACACTGCATCAAAACAGCGAGGCATTTCTTGTAAGCTTCAATTAGTACTTTTTCCTAAAAAAGAGGGTTTCCGTTAAGTTACTCAAAAGGTTGAGTTTCTGAAACATTGAGCAAGCACCTCAAATTTGACAATAATTAAACAAAAGCTTACTCCAGATCTAAAATAAGGCTCTGAATTCCTCTAAACTTGAAGGTGTGTAAAACAGTGTATCTTTCAAAATGAAATCTGCCCTGGACATCTCAATGTCAAATATCAATATGAGCAAAATCAAACTCAATCTTCACTTCCCAAACTTGCTCCTTCTTCCAGTGGCCCCTATCTCAGTGAATGACACCTCCATTCGTACAGCTGTGGAAATCTAGACGTTATTACGATACCCTCCTTTCTCTCATTCCCCATTGTCTACTAGCATGCTGGCAATTTTGTTTTCTAAATTTCTCTCAAATCTGGCCACTTTTCTCTATCTCCACTACCTCCAAGACACTGTCAACCATCTCTATTAAATTCCCTGCTTCTATCCTTGTCTTCTCATTCACTTTCTATACAGAGGGTTTTTTTTTTTTTTTTCTTTAATAGGCTCAAGCTGTTTCCTTGCTTGCTTGGTAGCCTAAATTTAATGGCTGGCCACTTCAATTAGCATGAGATCCAAACTCCTTTCCATGGACTCCAAGTCCCTGCAAAGAACACCCTGCCTACTTTTCCACTCTCAACCTTTGTACTCCAACCACAGAGCCTTCTCACTCCCAGAAAAGCCACACTCCCTTTTAGCACAGAGCATGACGTATCTGTATCCTCAGTGAAGAATATTCTTTACTCTCTGCTCATTTAACTCTCACACATTGTTCAGATCTCATGGAAGCCTTCCCTAGGTCCCCCAACTTATACAGACTCTCATTTAGTCTCTTTTGGCCAAAGGCAGGCCAAAATAATATTAAGACATAGGATAAATGTACTGATAGTAAAACTATATTTGGACATGTTTATAAACTACTGTTTTTATATGCATAAAGTCTAAAAGAGATCATGAAAAAAATGAAGGTAGTCACTTCATCAGCGACAAGAGATTGTGGATTATTTCCTCTTTCATGTATTTTCCAAGTTTTTTCTAAGGCTTTAGCGTTTTCGCTTTTTAAGCTTCACTGAATTTATAGGTGAAAGGTAAAATATGTTGTTTTATGAGCTAAGCCATCACCATCATTTTCTCCAAATCTCAGAATTTACCTAGGAATCTCCCCCTCCTACTTCATGCCACTCCAAGGAAAGGGGGAAAAAAAAAAAAGTTGCCATTAAGTAATTCTGACTCACAGTAACCCCATGTGTGTCAAAGCAGAACAGCTGAGTGTTAACAATTTGTACCACTCAGGGACCCCCTACTATAAGAAACTCACATCTAAAGCACACCAGTCCTGGATCATTGAAATGACATGTGTTAATTTCATCTGCAGTGTAAAGGCTGCTTCCCACTCGGGTTCCATTTCAATATGCTGTCCTACTTGACGTGTAATTGGATCCATTCCCTTAAAGGAAATAAAAAGGTTTTATATGTATTAAAATTATATTTGTTCTCTTACATTGAAACTTAAGAAACAATGTAGAAGAAATACACATTGATTATAAAAACAAAGTAAGAGTTTAAACAGGAAGCTTCAAGTAGTATGAGGCTGTAACTTCTTAAATTACATGCTTATGTAGCATTTTCTAAAATACAAATCAAAAATCTCCATAAAGTATAGAACAAATTACTTCAGAGGCAATCTTCTATATCTTAGACAATAAAATATATACTTCACTATAGCAATCCTTCAAATTCCTTTTTAGGTCCATATCTATAAAAAAAAATTGTTAGAAGAAATTTGTCAGGCTTTTAAAACTTTACAAATTTAGTATTTTATAGTATATTAGAAAGATATTTTTATATTTACTCCCTAACCTGGAACTAAAAGTTTTCATAGAGTATGAAAGAAAGTAAAACAAGAAAAAGACAGAGGTTTTAATATTTAAGAATAATCACTTTTTAGACAAAAGTTTGACTTTCCAGGGTTGATTAAATAATAGAGAATATAAGACGCCTCAAATATTCAAAATGACTGAAGAAGCTACTAATTTTACTGATACACAAAAAAACCTAAGTAAATATTATAATAAACACCGATGAAAACCACTACCTAAGCGAGGCACTAGAATATTTTCTAAAATTGATAAATCAACTTTGTTTATTCTTTTTCTTAAGAAAGTCAGCAGACTACTAAAGGAATCATAATAGTAGTTGCTTAGGTTTTTAGAAATGTCATCTTTTACTGTTAAAACGGGTTAAAAAAACTAGTTCATCTTGCTTCTAGATTCTGTTTCCTATATGGCAATGTTTCCAAAAAAGAGAATGAAACAGAAGGGAAAAAAGTTCTACACTATATTATATAAATGTCATACCAAGGAGAGAAAAAGAAATACAGAAACAAAATAAAATTGACTATATAACTTAACTATACTTCTGTGTGAACACATTAAAAAAAAAAAAAAAAATTGCAGTTGTCAAAGAAAGAATGTTAACAGTAACCAAAAGAATTACCATATACAAAAGAGCAGCAGATGCCAGACCTTTTGCTGGGATCTCATTTGCTCTACAACTTTCTAAGAGTCTCCAATTAAACAGGAGCCTCATGGTTCAAACTGTAGCCATCTAAACTGCTCCTTTGGAAATGTGCCCAAAATTAAGAAAATGCATAGACAGAAAGGTGGTCAGTTAAAAAATCTAAAAAAAAGAAAAAAGAGTTCCCTTTTTAAAATGTGTCAATTTATACATACCTGCATACATTTCAGTAATTCCAAAAAGGCATCAAACCCCTCTAGGAACTTCTGTCTCAGCTCATCTGACCATTCAGTTGGCTTGCTAATTAACACATATCTGAACAGGACAAAAATAACTATGAATAAATCAACACTTACATTTTGTAAGTTGCAATTGTTTTGATAATTAAATAAAAGCTTACTTGAGATCTAAAATAAGGCTCTGAACTCTCCTAAACTTGAAGGCTTGCAAAGCAGTGTATCGTTCAAACTGAAACCTGCCCTGGGCATCTCGGTGTCTCAAATGATCCATAAAAGTCTTAATGATAATGGTCATAAGGTTTTCTTCTGTGATGAGCATTCGAGCCTAAAACAAAGAATATGAGAGTCCCTGGTAATCAAAAATCATTAGAAAGCTTAAAAAAAAAAAAAAAAAAGTCACCAACATTTTTTAGTTCTCAGTTTTTCAACACAACTATATAATATCATAAAGGTATTACTGCATATTTCTAAATTACAATTACTTACTCCAATTGCCATGGGTATGAAGCAACAATTAAATCACGGAGAAAGATGCCAGAATGTTAGGAGACAGATCCAAGGCTCATTATTCAAAGACAATTCAGGGTAGGGGTCTGAACCAGGCTGCAAATTTTCCTTAACTGAGACATTTAGACACCTATAATGGTATGGTATAATTATTCTAGGATCCAGAGGTTTTTTGTCACAGATTCTCTAGAATTCAGTATGAAATCATGTTTCCTCTTAATCTTCTTGGTTATTTTTTTTGTTTTCATTTCTATGTACAGATATAGACATTTATGTATTTTTGAATATGTACATATATTTCAAAGATGCAAAAAACAACAGGTAAAAAGTAAGTCTCCCAGCTCCTGAGGTCCCCCTTCCAAAGGCAATCCCTGTTAACAGCTTCTTGTACATGCGTCCAGAGATGGTGTGCATGTGTGTACATATTCTTCTGCACTTTGTTTATTTTACTAGATATATTTTAGAGACTGTCCCCTATCCGTTCATATAAACCTCTCTCATTCTTTTTATTATCAGTAAGTACTCTTCTGTCTCATAATTTATTTAGCCAGGCTCCTACTGGTAAGACATTTGTGTTGTTTCCAATATTATGTTATTACCAAGATGTTGCAACAAATAATTATTGTATACAAGTTGTAATATATTTATAGAACCTGTAAGTAGAACTTCTGGGTTAAAGAGCATGTACATTTTAAATTTTGATGGATACTACCAAGCTGTCCCTGGGAAGAGGTTTACCAATTTACATGAGCACCTCTAATGTGTGTCTTTTCCCTCATGTCCTCAATAACACTATCCAATTTCAAACATTTTGATCTTTGTAATTCTGCTGGTTTTAATTTGTATATCTTACTCTGAAGCTGAACATCATTTCATACCAATTTACATTTCCTTTTCTGCTCCACAGTAAAGTGAGAAGGTCTAATAGTCCTTTGAATAACACATTTTTACTCTGATACATAAGATGATGAATCTCCTCCCTTTTTCCAGTCCCAATACTCTCAGGGTATAGCTAACCTCTACAAGGTTGCAGGCTCTACTTGATATGGGGTGACCACCTCACCAGGTCTAACAATAGTCAGTGTCAGGTAATTAGCAATATAGAAAGTTGCATAAAAGGTAGGACAAAAAACGCAGAAGGCAGAATTCTAAGAATATAGTAAAGCTGTATTCTAATAGGTTTAGTTCTAAAATCAGCAGATAAGAGAAAAATCTATAGTCAAATTTACCTTTGAAAATTTCCTAAATCATCATTACATTCTCAGGATTTAAGCCCCAAGAAGCTCAGAGGTCAAGCTTAGAGGTCAAATTACCTTATGTTAATTTTCTTAGTCAAATTTCCAAGCTGAAGAAACAAGATTAGAGTTTAGGACACTACAGCAGGAAGAAGCTCTAGTGAATACACCAGGCTGTCAACTGAGAACCTTAGAGGGTATGTCGCAGAGGTAAGGAAGAACCAGACGCAAGACAGAGTCTTGCCAAAACAACCAGGAGCCATGTTAACCCCTGACTGGACTAAGGTGATCAGTATCACTCTATCTGCCAAACAATGTTAAGGGTGAATCTGCTCAGAAGGAAGGTATTGTGCAGTGTCTACAATTTTTTTACTTTATTTTATTTTAAATAAAGAATATTCTAACAGAAGGAGAGAGGAGAGAAAGAATGGGGGCGGAAACTACATTTGAAGAGCTATGGCTCCCAAACCTGATAAAAGACATCAGCCCAGAGATTTAATAATATCTATAAACTCCAATAACATGTTGTTGTTTTTAACAACACAAACGCCAAGACAATAAACAGAAAGAAAACCATATCTAAGTAGATTTTAGTAAAGCTGCTGAAAATCTAAGACATATAGAAAACTGTAAAAGCAGTAAGGGAAGAGTGTGCTTCTTAGCTCAAGTAGACACATGGGACTAAATGGGCAGCTCCTGTCCGGAGGTGAGATGAGAAGGCAGAGAGGGTCAGGAGCTGGCTGAATGGACACAGGATATCAGGGGTGGCAAGGAGGAAGGTGCTGTCACAGTATAGGGAGAGCAATTAGGGCCACATAACAATGTATGTATAAATTTTCACGAGAGACTAACTTGAACTGTAAACTTTCACTTACACTACAATAACTAAAAAAAAAAAAAAAAAAGTTTAAGTGAAAAAAACAAACAAAAAACACTATCCTCAAAGGTGCATCAACTAAGAACAAGTGCTGACTTTTCAACAGAAATAAAGCCAGAAGACAACGGCCTGATATCTTTATAATGTTAAAGGAAAATAACTGTCAATCTAGAATTCTACACCCAGTGAAAATATCCTTCAAAAAATGAAAGTGAAATAAAAGTATTTTCAGACAAACAGAAACAGAGAAATTGTCTCTAGCAGACCTCCACTAAAAAAGAAATACCCAAAGTAATTCTTTGCTCCTAGAGGGAAACATGAAAATGCAAAAAGGATGAAAAGCAATGGAAAAGATAAATATATGAATATTTTTGACTATGCCAAACAATAACATCTTCTAGGATTTAAAATCTACATAAATTAAGCTGCATGACAAAAATAACACAAAAGGTGGGTAAATAGAGTTAAAGTGTTCTGAGGTCTCAGCTTTGTAAAGTGGTTTTTAAAGTAATACTTTATACCAGTAAATCAAAGATGCATGTTATAACCTCTTGAGCAGTACCACTCAAAGCATGGTCCACGGACCAGAAATCTACAAACTGCTTGTGCCAGCTATGAAAAGAAGCATGCACGAGGAGGTAAGTCAACTATTTACATGAGTTAAGCTGACATTTCTATCATAGCAATATTTTTGCTGAAAGAAGCAAATTTCTGGTACAAGTTGTTTATCTTGTCAGGAACTGACCCTTTGAGTAAAACTGTTCTAGAGTAAGCCTTGAAAGAATATCAAATGAATGTAAACTAACAAGCTAATAAAAGGGAAAAATTTGGTTAATCCAAAAGAAGGCAAGAAAGAAAAACAAGCAAAACAGTTGAGTCAAATAGGAAAAAAAAAAAATCGTTTAAGATGGTATATATAAAGCCAAATACACCTGTAACTATATTAAATGAGTTGTAATATAATTAAAATATTAAGTTATCAGACTGGATAAATAATAAAACCCAAGTACATGGTTTTTAAAAGAGACACACACTGAATATAAGGGTACAGAAAAATTGGAAATGTAACAATGGAAAAGATATAGTATGTAAACACTAACCAAAAGAAAGTAGTTGTTGCTATAATACAAGATAAATTACACTCCAAAGTCAGAAGCATTATTTGAGATGGAAAGTGATAATTCATAATAATAAAGGGTTCAATCCTGGAAGTACAAAAATTCTAAATTTGTATGCACTCAATCACATAGCTTCCAGATATATACAGTAAAACCTGAGAGAATTAAAAGGAGAAATAGTCAAGTCTACAATCGTTGTGGAAGACTATAAAAAACCAAACCCGTTGCTGTCAAGTCAATTCCGACTCATAGCGACCCTATCGGACAGAGCAGAAATGCCCCAGAGAGCTTCCAAGGAGCAGCTGGTGGATTCGATCTTTTGGTCAGCAGGCAAACGCTTAACCACTGCGCTACTAGTGCCCTGTGGAAGATACATAAAGATACATAAATGTCTATATCTATACATAGAAGTGAAAACAACAGCTGATACAGCAAGTGGGCAAAAATCAGTAAGGCTATAGAAGACCTGCACAATGAAAATTAACAAACTTGATATAATATGTTAAACACTGCACCCAATGAGAGAATGTACAATATTTTCAAATGCACATAGAACATTTACCAAAACTGAAAACATTCTGGGCCGCATAGCAAGGCTCAACAATATGTGAAGCAGTGAAATAACCCAGAGTACGTTCTCTGAGTTTGACTTTATTTCAAGAAATTAGAAAAAGAATGGCAAATTAAACCCCAAAAGTAGACAAAGGTAAATAATGAGTACAAACTAATGAGACAAAGCAAATGAAAAAAAAGAGAAAAATTAACCAATCAAAAGTTGCTTCTTTGAAAAGGAAACCAAAACAAACAAAATGACAGATCTCTAGCAAGACTAATCAAGAAAAAAATAAAAATTTAAATTTACCAATATCAGGAATTTTAAAAAAGTCCAAAAAAAAAGGGCTACAAACAACTACATATCCTACAGATAAACAAATAATAGATAGAAAATAAGCCAATACTAGGAACAACTTTATACCAACATAGTTGAAATTTAAAAGAAATGAATACATTCCTAAAACAAAACAAAGCAAAAAACCCACAGGTTATTAAAAGGGAGAGAAGAAGAAACAAAACATCTGAATCGCTCTATATTAAAGAAATTAAATTGATAATTAAAAACCTTCCCACAAAGAAATCTCTAGGCCTAGATGACTATACTGGTGAATTCTTCGAAACATTCAAGGGAAGAATAAAATTTTTCCAGTAAACAGAGACAGAATATATACTTCCCGATTTAGTAACAAGTCTTGATTCCAAAATCTGACAAAGATACTACAAGAAAGAAAAATTACAATCTAATATCTCTTACAAATGAGGCTGCATAAACTGAATAAAGCAATATAGAAAAGGATAATATATCACTTTATTTTTTTAATACAAGAATGCTATAACACCTGAAAAAACTGACACTATTCATTTTATAAACAGAATTAAAAAAAAATCGTGATTTTTCTGAACTAATGAAAATTAAACATTTGTTCATGACTAAAAACAACAATAACAAAATACCTCATAGAAACTAGGAATAAAAGCGAACTTCTAAAATCTGATAAAAAGAGTACCTAAAAAACAAACAAAAAACCCAAAC